GATTTTCTGAACTTTGTGCTAGTTTGTGCAGTTTTATTTTAAGCCTGGTTTCCAAAAGTCTCTTGTTAGCAACCAGATGGTTGTCAAACAATTGATATGGGTTCATTTTAAGCCCATGTGGGGAACATAATGGCCTGGATTTTCCAGTAGAAGGATTTAGTAATTCTACTGGTCTTTGAATGCCAACAGGGATTTTTGGAAATTGAATTCCCCAATGTCTTGGAAGTAAAATACTGGAAAATTGGAACCAATGAATTGATTTTGCATGATGTACTTGGGATATAAAATTCAGGATATGGATGGAGTTTATTTCAACTGCAAATGTCCAGTCTTAGAAGTGGTAAAACTTGTTAAATTAGGTAAAGATTTTTTTTAGTGTTTAAAGTTTTGAAATTTATTTTCTGAAGCTTGAGTTAATGAATATGAACACATATTTAGAATATACTGTAATTGATTTCTTATTTTCAGAGATTTGTTCAAAATTTTAGGATCTGTGCATATTTTCATTCATATCTGGGAAGTAAAACTTTGAGCTCATATAATTCAGTAGAATTTTGGTTATTAGAGATTGGGGAAGGTTTACGGGACAGGGTGAGGTTGGTTAACACATGTAAAATTATATGGAAGGAATAAGCTCTAGTGTTCTTGTTCTATGGTACTGTGGGGTGACTAGTTAGCAATTTATTATATATTTTCAAGTAGAGAGGATCTTGAATGTTCCTAACACCAAAAAATGATAAATGTTTAAGGTGATGGATATGCTAATTATACTAATTTGATCCTTTACATTGTATACTTGTATTAAAATATCACTATCCCATCAATATGTACAATTATTATGTGTCAATTTAAAAAAACTCTGAGGCCAGGCATGGTGGCTCATGCCTATAATCCCAGCATTTTGGGAGGCTTAGGTGGGAGCTCAGGAGTTCAGCAGCAACCTGGGCAACATAGCAAGACCGTTTTTCTACAAAATTAAAAAAAATAACCAGGCATGGTGGCATGCATCTATAGTCCCAACCACTCACGAGGCTGAGGTGGGAAGGTCACTTGAGCCCAGGAGTGTGAAGTTACAGTGCTATGATGTTACAGAGCTATGATGATGGTACCACATTCTAGCCATGGTGACAGAGCAAGACCCCGTCTCAAAAGAAACCCCCAAACACTACAACTCCTAGAGTCTAACTAAATGGTTTTTAAAGAAAAAAAATCCTTAAAGCAGGATTTGCATTGGGAAAAAGGATCATGGCTTGTCTCCAAGGTCAACAAACCTCAATGGTCTGTTTTTGAACTAGAGAGAGGCATCAATGAGTGCTGGAGGGTGCTAGTGACCATCACATTGTGTTACTGAAACAATTAAAAAGGGAGTCAAGGTCTGTTTCAAAGAGGCTTATGACCCATCAGAGTAAAGATAAGATAATGGTAAAGAGTGGCTGTGCTGTGCAGAGGCATTCTTTAAGACGCTCTCTTAATTGGTATTCATTCTTCAGAATGTCACTAGGTGTTTCCAGAAGGATCCTGTCTCGCAAAACATGTCACAGGATCTCTGTTTTGGTGTGTACATGTACAAGGCCTTCCTTTCTTCTCATCTGCTCCTGACGCCTCTGCTGGCCCGTGTCTGGCTATCTTGGGTAGTGAAGCTCCTGGCAACCAGACCTGGAGGCCTGGAAGTTGGTGGGTGGATTAGTTTCCTGTGTCTGCCACAACAAATGACCACAAACTGTGTGGGCAAAAACAATAAAAATTTATTTTCTCACAGTTCTGGAGGCCGGAATTCCAAAATCAAGGTGCCCACCAATGATTCTAGGATGGAAAGTAGAATCCATTCCTTGTCTCTCACAGCTTCTGGTGGCTCCTGGCTTTCCTTGGCCACATCATGCCAATCCCTACTTCTATCTTCACATTGCCTTCTCCTCTGTCTTCTCTTTGTGTCTCATATGAGGACACTTATTGTTGGATTTAGGGACCACCTAGATAATCTAGAATGATCTCTCCACCTCAAGATCCTTAACTATATCTCCAAATAAAATCACATTTGCTGTTTCTGGCAATTAGAATGTTGACGTTTTTGGGGGGATTGCTATTCAACCCACTATAGTGGGAATACTAAATCAGGACGGAGCCTTGAAAAGGAAGCAGATGGACAAAATCCTTCATTTGTCTTAATTTTTAATTTTGCTCTTAATTTTTTTTCTTAGAGATAGGATCTTGCTCTGTTCCCTAGGCTGGAGTGCACTGGTGCAATCCTTGTTCACTGCAGCCTCAAATTCCTGGGCTCAAGTGATCTTCCTGTCTCAGCCTCCCTGGTAGCTGTGACCACAGGTGTGTACCACCATGTCTGCCTAATTAATTAGAGATAGGACCTTGCTATATTGCCCAGGCTGGTCTCTAACTTCTGGCCTCAAGTGATCCTCCCACCTTGACCTCCTTGAGTAGCTGGGATGACAGCTGCTGTACCTGGCTGTCAGTCCCACAGTAAAACGGCTAGTATTCATATTCACTTATTTAATTATTTTTATTGTGGTAAAATATGTATAACATAAAATTTATCATTCTAACCATTTTGAGTGTATGGTTCTGTGGCATAGTATATTCATATTGTTTTACAGCCATCATTTCCATTCTTTTCCCAAATATTTTTTATCTTCCCAAACTGAAACTATGTACCCATTCATTAAACACACACTTGCCTTTCTCCTCTTCCCCCAAATATTATTGTTTTTAAGTTCTTTAAATTATTTTAGAAGTGCTAGGTGATAATTTTTAAACTTGGTCATCTAAAAAATATAAAATTTAACTTATTTAGTCATATTTTACATATATTATTCACTCATTTCAAGTATGTAGCTCAATGATTTTTAGTAAATTTACTCAGTTATGTAATGATCTCCATAAAATTTTTAGAACAAATTTTTAACTGATTAAGTTTAATACATTAAAACCAGATATTGGCTCGGCGCCTATAGCTCAACCGGCTAAGGCACCAGCCACGTACACCTAAGGTGGCGGGTTC